ACTTCAAAAGAAGATTAGACAAACTTGTGGAGGAAGACAAGGCTGCCAGTGGCTGCTAGATATGGTGGGTCTGCTCTGCCTGCACAGCAACACCTCTGAATCCCAGTTGCTGGAAACCTCAGGAAGGAAAAGGGCTCCTGGGCTCAGATCCTGTTTGTGGGTTTCACTGGTCGGCCACTGTGAGAGCAGGAGGCTGGACTAGACCGGCCATCTTATGTTCTTAGGTGATAAAGATTTTTGCATTAAAGGCTGTCAGGAGATATTTTGGGGATGGAAAGTGGTTAACACGTCCAAATATGCAAACTGAGTGATAAACCGGGATCCTAATCAATGCCTCGCTGTCACCCTGCAGAGGAACGGAGAGGGGGATGAAGTTGAAAGCAGGAGGATATAGATTTAAGTGTCAGGATGCATTTCCTGGGCATAACAAGAGGCAGGTGGTGGAAGGAGCCACGGAAGAAAGTGATGACCTCCCTCTTTGTTTTGGGAGCCACGGAGGACGGTGGAGGAGAACCTCAAGACTCAATCATTGCAATGCGCTCTGTGTGGTGCTATCCTCTTGGGGCCTGGTCTGGGGCAAAATGCTGCGGTTAGGTGGCTTGGTGAACCAGATCCCATATCACCAGGGCTCACAGATGCTGTGGGACTCCTCAACCAGCACAGCCAATGAACAGGAACGGTGGGAGCTCAGAAACTTCCAGAGGGCACCATGTTGCTTACCTGTGGTTTAGCATTCAGCCACCAGGTCTCCTTGGCTGGCAAGGCCCAGCGGGGAATGATGCAGTTGTAGTTGTTGGGTTGGAAGAAAACGTCAGGGCTTGGGTAAGGACATATGAAGAACCTGCTGGATCAGGCCAAAGGAGACCCATCTTCCTGTCCAGCTTCCTGTTCTCACAGTGGCCAACCACAGTGGCCAATGGGAAACTCACAAGTGGGATTCGCACACAAGAGCAACTTTCCCCTCCTTCGGTTTCCAGCAACTGGGATGCTTCTAACTGTGGAGGCAGCGCATAGCCATCTTGGCTAGGAGCCATTGATAGTTTGCTCCTGCCCCAAGGATTTGTCCAATCTTCTTTTAAAGCCTGTGGGAGGGAGTTCCATAGTTTAACTCTTTAAAGAGAGGCCTGGCTTGCAGGCTTGGATGGTGTTAGTGGAACCAAGGCTTTTCTGCATCTTTGTTATATGAAAATTTGGGGTTGACTCTTGCAACTCTGATTTCTTAAGGAAATCAGCCCTGAGTGCTCATTGGAAGGACAGATCCTGAAACTGAGGCTCCAGTACTTTGGCCACCTCATGAGAAGAGAAGACTCCCTGGAAAAGACCCTGATGTTGGGAAAGATGGAGGGCACAAGGAGAAGGGGACGACAGAGGACGAGATGGTGGGACAGTGTTCTCGAAGCTACCAGCATGAGTTTGACCAAACTGCGGGAGGCAGTGGAAGACAGGAGTGCTTGGCGTGCTCTGGTCCAGGGGGTCACGAAGAGTTGGACACAACTGAATGACTAAACAACAACTTGCAGCCCAGCTCCCCCAAGGGAACTCCCAAGTCCATTATCAGTCAAAGAAGAATGGGTGGAGGCAAGAATCCATAGGCGAAAGCAAGGAAGATCTTTCTTTTCTGTCTTAACAGAGATTCCCCCCACCCTGCAAGGAGGTGAGGACCCAGCACAAAAGTGTGCAACAACTTATAAAGACTTTAGAAATTGCCCAACCCCTTCCCCAGAGACCACCCAAAAGCATCATACAAGCATCACAGAAAGAGGTGGTCTGCAGAAGAATTTTGACTCCTCCCCTGCCTGCCAAGATACCTGACAATCCTTGCTGACTGCCTTTTCCTGGCTAGTCTTTTGAAATGGTAAATACCGAAGTTCTTGAATGCATCATCCCAGACTTCCTCAGTTCATGTGAGAATTTCACCTCTTTACAGAGTCTGAAGGATTTTGCAAGTGAAAAGAACTACTGGGAAAAGTTTTTCCAAGATACTTCCTTCTACTGCAGAGAAAATATTTGGGGTCCTTAAGAGAGTCAAGTTGGTCTGTGAACTCAAAGTCTCTTTTTTTTCAGGGAATATTTCCCAATTTTTGAAGGGTGAAGGAAGAACTTTCTGACAGTAAGAGCTGTTCGACTGTGGAACGGACTCCCTCGGGAGGTTGTGGAGAGGCTGGATGGCCACTTGCCATGGATGCTTTACTTGAGATTCCTGCATTGCCTGGGGTTCGACTGGATGACCCTTGGGGACCCTTGATTTCACCCGCTATGCATGTGCCTCAACATCTGTGCAACATCATCTCTCTGCTACCATTCCGAAAAGGCAGCTGAGAAGGTTCTGGAAAGAAGGAGCCATCAAGTTGTCAAGAGCACCCAGTTCTTGAGTGGGGGAAGAGGCTATGAAATGCAGCCCCCACCCCCGTGCACCCAGATGAAGAACTTCTCCAGCAAAGCGCCTTGCCTCTGATCATCAGAGCCGTCCCCGGAGCCTCAAAGGCGCCCGATTTGGCACTGATGCTCAATTGGATGAGAGGAGGCCTGTTGCGGCGCCTGCCCTTTCCCCAGACATTTGCTTTGAGATTGTCAGCGCGGCTTCTGTTATCCTCCCACCCCCACCCGTCTTCCGCCGTCGCCTTCTCTTCCCCCCACCAGCTTTCTACACAGACCATTTTCTCTGGCTCAGATGAGAAGGATATTGTCAGAGAGTCTCCGCGTGCTGACCTCAATCCCAGCCTCATCCGCAAAAGCTATCTGCCGTAATTCTCATTATCGGGCCGGCGCAGAGACGGCGGAGAAATCGCGACCCCACCAAAAAAAAAGGAAAAAGGACCCCAACTGACACCCTCCCTCCCCCAGCCTTTTCAAGACCAGACTAGAGACCCTGTGGGTTTAATTCCCTCCGACCCCTGTTTTGAGATCTCATACAAGCCCTTTAAAATAATATCCTGAAAGTCTGCTCTCTTGCCTCGGAATGTGGGAGGAAACTAAGACGTGGAAATGGGATTACCAGAAAAAAATTGAAGACTTGGCGTTTTGTTGCGGGATGGAATTTGGCGTCACTTTCTCTCGCCGCCCCCAGATAAAACAACAATCGGGTATAACACTAGAACTAGTGGACATCGAATGAAACTGAATGTTGGGAAATTCAGGGCAGAGAAATGAAAGCATGTCTCTGTGCAGAGTTGAACTGTGGAACTCCCTGCCACAGGAGGCAATGAAAACCAACTTGGATGGCTTTAAAAGAGGGTGGGACAATTTCATGGAGGAACAAAGGGCTATTGATGGCCACAGGGGCTGTGCTCTGCAGTTGGAGGCCAAAGACGTATCTCTAGCCAGGCAAAACTACTAAAGGAGGGTATAAAGCAGGGGTCTGTGAGGGCTGTGGCCCGTGGAGAGTTTTGAGGGCCACACAGACTGGCCTTGAGGGCCACATTTGCCAGCTGGGCTGAGGTTCCCCACCCCTGCTCTTTGAGGAATGTGAAACACAAGAGCAGTCAAGTACAACATTCCTAGAGTGAACATGTTTGCACATGGGGAGGAATGTTTGTCCAGCCAGCAGGTAAACTTCCTGTTTCCTTTTGGGCTGGGACAGACTTCCTCTGCATGTGACTAGAGGTGGGCATAGCCTCACCTGTGCAGGTAACGACAAAAGCACAGGGCAGTGCAGCAGTCTCTACTCCTTTTGACTACATGCATCGAAGAAGCAACATCTGCTTAGCCAAAGATGCTCTCTTGGAGGACAAAGGGACTGTCTCCTTATGAGATAGTTTCCAGGTATATGTCACTTTTCTAAGCGAAGTCTGCCTTCTGGGATCCGATTGTGAACAGAATGTGAGTGAGTAAACTTTTTGTACTTTTATAGACGACCGTGTCGTGTCTTATCTTTTATGAGGGAATAAGGGGAAAATACCAGAACAGTTATTATAGAGGCTTTAGCGAGCCTGAGCAAACGCATCCGCTGCGAGTTTAAAAAGGGGGATGTTACTCTGCTAAATTGTGAACTTGTTAACACAACTTGGAAAGGCTATAATCAAACAATGTATCCTCTCCTGCATCCCTGAACATTCCCACACTCTTTGCCTTGGCAGACTGCTACTTGCGACGTGCTTTCTTCCCATATCACGCCCACCTAGCAGGGAGAGCAATGCTGTGGTGCTCAGGCTGTGCTTTCGGACGTCCTATTGGGGCATCCACCTGACCACGGTGAGAACAGGATGCGGGACCAGGTGGGCTGTTGGCTTCATCCATCAGCCGGACTCTTCCAATGTCCTCCTTCGCCTTCCTCATTGCTTTATTGATCCCTCTGTTAATGGCTTCAGGACGTTGGCAGAGGGATATTCACCTCTTTTATAGGGTGTGTTTTTTAAAAAAGTGGGTGGCCCAGTATGAATCTGACCCCCAGCCGCTCTTGGCTTTGTCTGCTTTGACACCGGGGTGCGCATGCATCCTGCCTCCTCTCCCAGATGCTGAGGCCCACAGCTGCTTCTCCTCCAGCCCGTGGAAGAACCTGGTGTTTTCGAGGACAGAGGCATCACCGCCACCCTGCAGAACCAGCTGTGCCTCTTGTCCCAGGCTGTGTCTGGCGCAAAGATAAGACTGGGATGGGCGTCGAGAGAGCTGGCAGCGGAGTCATGCTCACTTGCGCTCAAGCATCAGGATTCCATGTTCGACAGGCGGCGAGAAGAGGGGGGAATGACGTCGGGATTTGCTGGAGGCGCCGGGCTGCAGCTGCGCTCTCGCCGTGTCCCTTCCGGCTGTTCAGGGAGTTGAGTTAATGAGCCCCAGCAGGGGCTCCGCTCCACGTCAAGAGCAAAGCAAATCAGGACACAGGTAAAAAAAACACAACACGGTCCTACAAACCCAGCTCGAGCCGCCCACCCACCATTGTTCGTTCCTGAGTGACCTGCCGCAGTCCTCTGCCTGAGGACACCAGGTGGATCGGGCCAAAATCTCAGCTCATGGGGCTGCAGAAAGGGATCTTCGAGGTCATCCAGCCCAACCCCATTGTCAGTGGGCCAGAGCTCGGTGGCAGAGCAGCTGCTTAGCATGCAGAAGGTCCTGGGTTCGATACCTGTTGGCATCTCCAGGCAGGGTGGAAAAGACCCCTGTCTGAGACCCTGGAGAGCCACTGCTGCCAGTCAAGTGCGGACAGTGCTGAGGTAGATGGATGAATGATCCAGTCAAGGCAACTTCCCTGCTCGTTTGCAGAGCCACCTTAACCCTTTGTGAAGCCGAGGGGGAGGATGGGAAGACTTCTCCTGTGCTTGTTCTCTCATACCCTTCAAGTGTCCCGATTTTCCAGGGACAGTCCTGGAATTTACAAAGCCATCCCAGCTTGTGATTTGATCCCAGAATGTCCCTATTTCCTCCACCAGCGCTTGTCCCAAGCAGCAGCAGTGGCAGCAAGGGAGCTTCCTCTTGCCTCTCCCTGCTGCTGCGGCTGGCCTCCTGCTTTGGGTAGCTCATAGCAGACGCTGGGGAGCAGGAGAGGCTGCCACTGCCTGGCTCTGAGACCACCCTGGGCGGGAAGAAAGAGGGAACGGAGCAGAATGCAAAGAGCCTCTCTCTTTTCTTTTAATGCCTTGTGAGTCTGTACCTAATCATGCCCCTTCCTAAAATGTATTTATTGGTGTATGTCTTTCCTTTCGCAAATCTACCAAAGGAGAAAATAAAATAAAGTCGGGATTAAGGAATGTGGAGGGCCTGTGCGCTGTGTCCCATTGCTGTCGTGGTGGCGGCACTCACTCTTCTTCTGATAGGAAATGGTCTGCAGGTGGGGGGACCATAATTGGGGGGGGTAAAGGTTGGGGATGTGGGTGGCACTTTGGGTTAAACCACAGAGCCTAGGACTTGCCGATCAGAAGGTTGGCGGTTTGAATCCCCACGACGGAGTGAGCTCCCGTTGCTTGGTCCCTGCTCCTGCCAACCTAGCAGTTCAAAAGCACATCAGAGTGCAAGTAGATAAACAGGTACCGCTCTGGCGGGAAGGTAAACAGTGTTTCCGTGCGCTGCTCTGGTTCGCCAGAAGCGGCTTAGTCATGCTGGCCACATGACCCGGAAGCTGTACGCCAGTAAAGCGAAATGAGTGCCACAACCCCAGAGTCGGCCACGACTGGACCTAATGGTCAGGGGTCCCTGAGCCAGTGTGGTGTAGTGGTTAAGAGCGGTGGTCTCGTAATCTGGGGAACCGGGTTCGCGTCTCCGCTCCTCCACATGCAGCTGCTGGGTGACCTTGGGCCAGTCACACTTCTCTGAAGTCTCTCAGCCCCACTCACCTCACAGAGGGTTTGTTGTGGGGGAGGAAGGGAAAGGAGAATGTTAGCCGCTTTGAGACTCCTTAAAGGGAGTGAAAGGCGGGATATCAAATCCAAACCCTTCTTCTTCTTTACCTTAGGGGAAAGTGGGGCATCCTGGGATCAAATCAGAAACCGGGGTGGCTTCTGTAAATCCGGGGCTGTCCCTGGAAAATAGGGACACTTGGAGGGTCTGTCACAGTGCCAAGCCTATGGGACCACCTCCCCAAAATGCCATGTCCTTTTAGCAACGCCACCAGAATCAACTAGTTCTTGCCTCATTCGGGGCCAGGGAGCCTCCCCACCCCAAGTTGAAAGTGCGTGTTGTTGGCCCAGCCTAATGGATGCACCACTTCTGCTCGCCCTGGGAGCCTGGAGAAATCTGCCTCCAACTTTTGCGCTTGCTGTGTGCTTCTAGCGACGCGCTTTCCTCTGGAAAGAGGCGCACTTGCCAGGCAACAGACCATTGTCCTCCCGAAGTGGCAGCCCCCATTTTTGCTGGATAATGGCCCTCAGGCCTTGGGGCCCTGCTGGCACCGGCAGCTATTTGGCAAAATTGCCGCCTTGCTGTGTCAGGGGCCTTTTAGAGGGGTTTGTTTCTCCCCCTCCGTCTCAGATCGACCTGCGACAAAAGTAAATCCCCAGTGGAAAGTCTCCTTCCCGTCCTTTGCTCAGGAGGAGAAAGAAATAACAGGCCTGGAAAGAGGGGGGGGGGGGGAGAGTTTAAAAGGGGGGGGAGAGAGAGAGAGAGAGAGAGAGAGAGAGAGAGAGAGAGAGAGTGTCTGGTGCCTGGCAGTTTGGGGATAGGGAAGAATTGCTTCCCTCCCTCCGGCAGAGCACCGAAGCGGCTTTGAGGACCCGCCAGTGCCGCGAAGATGCCTTGCCGGTCCAGCGGCTAATGCAAAAGAGAAAAATAGCCCCACACAAAAGAGGATGGTGGTGTTGTCTCTCGCGGCGATAATAAGCGCCTGCCCAAAAGACTCCCTGACAGGCCTTTTTAGACGCTCGCCCCCCTCCTAGGTAATTATAAGATGGAGTCGCAGACCGTGTACTTTGCAAAACTGCCTCCCCTGCCAACGACGTCGTCATGGCTCATCCCAGCAGCTCCTCGCCTCTCCCCCGGCAGCCTGACGCTTTTCTCCTCAGATAAATGAGCCTAGGAAGCCGCCTTATCCCAGCTCAGGTGCTTTGGGCATCCAGCCCAGTACTGGCGACTCTAGCCGGCAGCAGCTGTCCGCAGACTCCCAGGCAGAGAAAGGCCTTCCTCGTCATCTGCTACCAAACCAAAGGAAGATTCTAGTCCTCATGAGACTAAAAAAAGAAAGATGTTTTAAACAGGAACATAGGAAGCTGCCTTATACAGAACCAGTGTTGTCTACACTGACTGGCAGCAGCAGCTCACCAGGTTTTCAGTGCTGACTGGAATTGAACCTTCTGTGTGCAAAGCAGTGAATCTATCACTCTATCTATGGTGCTTTCTTTCTTTTTAAAAAGAGTAAGATTATGGTCCTCATGGTTACACATGAAGGGATGGTTAAAACAGGAAGCTGCATTATCCCAGTATTATCAACACTGGTTGGCAGCAGCTCTCCAGAGTCTCCCAGGCAGAGAAAGGTCCTTCTGCTATTGAAAATGTTTTAGGAATTCAGCCATCCTTCTGAACTTACTGCCATCCCTAGGTCTCCTGTGTGTGCGTGATTTTAATTGGGGGTTCTATCTTGGTGCCTAATTATTGGTGCGCTCCCCCACCCCAGAAAACCCCCACCCCTTTCCCCCTGCTGTCACAACCTGTGTTGGTTCACCCCTTCGATCCTCCTCATTGTGGGAATTTCCAGCCCCACCAGTGCTAGGGGTCCCGGGGTTCCTGGTGCACCGAGGTTACACCTCCCAGCCAGCGGCTTTCGCCCGCAGCCAAGACAGCCTCCTGGGAAGCTTTTGAGGGGTTAACAGGGGCCCTGCCAGCAAGACTCTTCCCTTCCGATCTGGTGGGCAGGATAATTGAGATCCACGTTAGCCGTACCTGCCAATTTCGGGGCTCTCTCGCTCGCTCTTCATTGCGCGGCCGGTTCCCAGATACGTCTCTATTCTGGCAACCCGGCCTTGCCCATTCGGAGCGAGACCTCGTGTCATCTCCAATCAACTCTCCCATCCACCAGAAGGATGAACTTCCAAAGCAACTTATTAGACGGAAAAACATCATCAACAACAACAACCAGACCCAGCACCAAAAAAACAAGGCCCTAATTGATTCGTCTGCTACCGCCAGACCTTGAAGGTTTCACCGCTGCTGCTGTAGCGCCTACAACTAAGCAAATTCTTTTTAAGGCTACAGCTTTATTGCGTTCAGACACGCTGCCTGGGGCTGGTTCAAGGCTGTGGGTGGAACTCGGCTTTCAGTTTTTTAAAGATGAGCCTGCAGGATCAGGCCAGTGGCCCATCTGGTCCAGAATCCTGTTCCCACAGTGGCAGACCAAATGCCTATGGGCGTAAGCAGGATTTGAGCGTTTGTGTGCTGCGCTGGCTCTGCGGACAGTGCTGGCTCCCGGCCTATAGAGTGAGATGAGCGCACAACCCTAGAGTCTGGCAAGACTGGCCCGAACGGGCAGGGGTACCTTTACCTTTACCTTTACCCTCCGGTGACTTCCAGCAACTGGTATTCAGAAGCTCTGCCGTATCCAGCCATGGAAGCAGAACATAGTTATTGTGGCTAGGAGCCATCGATAGCCCTTCAAGCATTTGTCCAATCCTCTTTTAAGGATGGTAGTCATCACTGCCCCCTGCAGCAGGGAGTTCCATCGTTTCTTTCTTTTTTAAATTTTTTTTATTCATTTTTCTTTTTCATTCATTACATACATCTCAAATTCTTAACATTTACTATATATTCCTCCCTCCCTCCCCTCCAAGGCTTCCCCCAACTTCCGCTTCTGGTTCGTTTCTCTTTTCACTTTGCTATCTCCTAACAGAAAAAGTTATTAATAACATAACATCAAGCCTAAAAACATAAAAGTAAATACACCATAATATTTCACTATCTTCTAAACATTTTCTAATACTAATGATGTGAATGTTTATTTAAATCCTGCCATCAAGTCTATTGACTGTCTTTGTTTCTGCAAATATAATATGAATGGTTCCCATTCTTTTTTCAAAGTCACTGTTGTCCTTTTCTCTTAATCTATCCGTCATTTTTGCCAGTTCTGCATAGTTCATCAACTTCTCTTGCCATTGTTCTTTAGCTGGTATTTCTCCAGTCTTCCACTTTTGTGCAATCAACATTCTTGCTGCTGTAGTGGTATACATAAATAAAATCTTCATTTCTTTTGGTATGTCTTGGCCTAAAATACCTAGCAAATAGGCTTCTGGTTTTTTTTAACAAAAGTTATTTTCAACATTTTCTTCAATTCATTGTATCTCATTTCCCAGTAGGCTTTTACCTTTTTACAGGAGTTCCATAGTTTCACTATGCAGTGTGTAGAGAAGTCTTTTCTTTTATTTATCCTGATAACTCCAATATTCAGCTTCATTGAATGTCTGTGAGTTCCAGTTTTAGGAGAGAGGAAGAAAACCTTTCCTCAAGCCACTTTCTCTGAGCCAGGCACGATTTTATAAATATCTATCATGTTGCCTCTTAACTCACATTTTCTCGAAACTAAAAAGCCCCAAATGTTGCAATCTTTCTGCATGGGGGAGCTGCTCCACACCCTGCCCTCTTTTAAAAGAGCAGTGCAGCAGGCAGAAATTCACCGTGGGAATGGGGAAGGTGGCACCTGTTGGATGCCTGCCTGCTCAG